AGGAGGGAGGAAGGATGAGGGAGGAAGGAGGAGGGAGGACGAGGAGATAGGATGGAGGAGGGAGGAGGGAGGAGGGAGGATGGAGGAAGAGGAGGAGGAGGATGAGGAGGAGGAGGAGGAGGAGGAGGAGGAGGAGGAGGAGGAGGAGGAGGCGGAGGAGGGTTGGCACGAGGGCTGTGGCCTTCTGGCAGCTGCCCCGGGGCTTCCCAGGGAGGGGCCCCGCCTGCGGCGTGTCTCGCCCTCGGCGGGAGGCTGGCGGATGCCAGCGGAAGTAAGAGCGGCCGCGGCGTCGCCAGAGGACGGTTGGTGGAAGGCGGCGGCAGAGGACGCCTGGTGGAAGGGGTCCTTCGCCAGGGTGATTTTTTGCCGCGGAAGCGGCGTTCGCACAGATCGGAAAAGCTCGATGGGGATGCCAAACTCTGGCGATCGCAAACATGGATCAAGGGGGCGCGGATTAGTGACGGGTCCCGTTTGCATGGGAAATCGCGGATGCCCGCCGCCGAAGGAGGCGGCATTGGCCGCATTTTGGGGAGGGCACCTCCCCCGATCCATGGATTTGGCGACCGCGCGCAAAATCCATGGATCGCTAATCCATGTTTGGGCGCCCCCGAGCAGGGGCAACGATGGGCGGGGGGATGTGGTTGGGGGATGGGGGGGGGGATGCATGGACCCCTAATCGCCCATGGATCGCCGATGTGGGGCTTCATAGCCCCAGCCTGGTCAGGAGCGTGCGCGTTCACTATCGGGGGCCCATCGCCGATCTCTCGGCGATGTATCGCCGATGTGCCCCCCCCTCTACGCCTGTAGATCCCCCCCTGCACATCGTTGCCCCCTGACACACTTGTGAGACGTCCACATCTTTGGTTCCAGTGGCTTCTGCAGCCACCCCCTTGCCTGGCCAGGGCCGTCCTGTGCCCTGCGACGTGTGTAGACTCTCCCAGGCCATGCCCCAATGCCGAGGCCCAGGGAGGCCCCGGCCAGCCATGGTGGTGTGTACCAGCGTGGGTAGTGGTAGTGGATGGCTGCGCATTGTGGAAGCCCTTTTTGGGAAAAGCGACGCTCTCTCAGAACGAGAAGCGGAGCTTTACTACAATGCGTCACCCAGGGGAAACAAGCCAGCACGGCCTATTAGTAAACGCAGAAGCCAGTCTGTTGAATTCTAGCACAGATCTTCTTCTGAACCCAGGGCCATTTTCTGAATCCCGAACCCTTGCACTGCCACGGCCAAAATTCGGAGGTTGATAGACCTCCTACCCTGATGCGTCCATGAGCGAATTGGCCGTTTTCGGTTCGCGAGAGGGCGTCGCGGCCGTCCTTTTTGCGTGTCCAGGGCCGTCGTTTTCGGTCCTAGGCCGTCTTCACCAAGGGGAGGTTTACTAAAAGGGAGGCTCGCCCACCGCCAACAAAAAGCAGCGATGGCGCCATCCGAGGTGCCTTTCCAGACGCCCCCGCCCCCCTCCGAACCCGGGCCCCCTGCCCTCTCGCAAAGGCCCCGCCCCTCCTCCTCCTCCTCCTCCTCCTCCTCCTCCTCCTCCTCCTCATCTTCGTCTTCCTCCTCCTCATCCTCCTCCTCCTCCTCCTCCTCCTCCTCCTCCTCCTCCTCCTCCTCCTCCCCCCCGCGCCTCTGCGCGCGCGGCTGCGCAGGGACGGGCTCGACTCCGGCAGGAGGGGCCCCCGCTTCGACAGGCCGGGCTGGAGGACCCGCTGGGAGAAGGTCGGCGGGCGGGGCAGCAACCGACCGGCCACGCGCAGGAGGCGAAGAAGCCTTGCCCCCTCCCCCTCCTCCTCCTCCTTCCTCCTCTCCTGCTCGTTGTCCTCTCCTCGTCTTCCTCCTCCTCCTCCTCTCCTCCTCCTCTCCATCTCCTCCTCCTCCTCCTCCTCCTCCTCCTCCTCCATCTCCTCCTCCTCCTCCTCCTCCTCCTCCATCTCCCCCTGCTCTCGAAGAAGAGAAAACGGCAGAAGCACGAACTCTTGGCGCTCCGCGCGGGGTTCTTCGATGGCGTCGCCCCTGGCGCGCTCGGATCCAAGGAATCCGCGCGGAGCGCCAGAAGTTTGATGTTTATGGCGGTTTTTCTTCTCCTATGCTCCTCAGAAGGCGCAGGCCTCGTCTGTAGATGCAGGGCCGGCGCCTTCTGATAGAGGCAGCCTCCTTCGAAGAAGCCTTGCCCCCTCCCCCTCCTCCTCCTCCTCCTCCTCCTCCTCCTCCTCCTCCTCGTTGTCCTCCTCGTCTTCCTCCTCCTCCTCCTCCATCTCCTTCTCCTCCTCCTCCTCCTCCTCCTCCACCTGTCCTTTGAGCCAAAGGGTCATGGTGCTAATATCGCAGAGCGGATGCCGTTCGGAGACTGATCGGATGGGCCTGGAGTGTTGTGGAAAATTTCGTTCTGGGTTTCGAGGTGAGTTTTGTGCGGATTTTTTGGCCAGAAATGAAGACTAAAACAAACCCACGCGAAATAAACTTGTTTTTTCGCACGCCTTTTCGGGGCTTGCATTGACAGAAATCCACGCAAAAATCCGCTGAGGCACGTCTGCAAGGTCGGTGCAGTGATGTGTCGTCTCTTGCTCTCTGGTATCGTTGACCCGTAAGACGCGAGCTTGCTAGAGCTCGCGCGTGCCGCCGCTTCTTCACGGTTTTGACGTGCACATTGGCGGTCCAGTTTTTGTGAGATGCTTGCAGCGGGAGCTCGCGTCAAATTTCAGGATGGGTCCCGTCACTGTTCTGACGGCCCCGTCGGGCAAGTCCGAGCCCCAGAAGCTCGAGTCGTACGTCTCCCCGATGAGGTCGGACGTCAATTGACCACATCCCCGTCCCTGGCCAGGCCCCCCCTTTCCCCAGGATCGGTGCCTGTGCCCTCCGGGCCCCGGGTGCGCCCGGCTAGGATATGGCGAGGTGGTCAGTGGAAGGACGAGGGCTGAGGAGGACGAGGACCCAAGACGAGGAGGAGGAGGAGGAGGAGGAGGAGGAGAAGGAACAGTGTAAACCCAAGAGTCATCAACGATGTTTCCAAGCTCCCTCTTTATAGGCCCCTACAACGGTTCATTTCCATTGATGGAACTGCCTCGTTGGAAGACACCCGTTTGAAGACCCTGAAGCATGCCAAAACATGGTTCTCGGGATTCCAACGCCACGGATCAACCTGACTGTTGCGTCTTGACGATCCTGAATCGTGCCAGAACGCCATTCCCAGGATTCAACACAGAGAATCAACGTAATTGTAACACCCGCATAATCGTGAATCCTTCCCAAGCACAATTTCTGGTACGTTGATGGTGGGAATCCGTGAGAGGCTTGCAATTTTTTCCAACGAGTGTGCGCGGCGCTCAGGCGAGAGCCACATTTTGAAAACGACCCGCCCTCAATCCGTGAAGCTCTTGCAAATTTCTAAAACGAATGTGCGCCGCGCTAAGCCCAGAGTCACATTTTTAACACCACCCGCCCTCAATCCGTGAGAGTCATGCAATTTTCTAAAACCAATGTGCGCCGCGCTGAGGCGAGAGCCGCATTTTGAAAACCACCCGCCCTCAATCCGTGAAGCTCTTGCAAACTCTTAATATGAATGTGCGCCGCGCTGAGGCGAGGGCCACATTTTGAACACCACCCGCCCTCAATCCGTGAGAGTCATGCATTATTCAAGCGAATGTGCGCCGCGCGAAGGCGAGAGCCACATTTTGAAAACCACCCGCCCTCAACACGTGAAGTTCTTGCAAATTTCTAAAGCGAATGTGCGCCGCGCGAAGGCGAGAGCCACATTTTTAGAAAACCACCCAGCCTCCATCTGTGAAACGGTTGCCACTTCTTAAACAGGCGCAGTCCACCAACCGACATCAGAGAGCAAGCTGCGCGGCGACATGGTGCCTCCTGAGAGTGTCCTCCCAAGCTCGCCGCGCGACGGCCAATACCATCGGATCAAATCCCTGGTACCTCCTATCCCGATCCCTCCCCCCCGCACGAGTAGAGCCCCTCGCGTGCCCGAGGCCTCCTTAGACCACCGATGGAGGTCCGCCTGGACCAAAGTGGGTCCTGGGCGTGCAGGGAGCTCGGGAGGGAGGCCCAACGAGGTCGAGGGAAAGGATGGGGAGCCTGTGCGTCTCGATCTCTCGAGCCCTCCTTCGACGGAGCGCCTCGGCCCTGTTGGCCGCAGTCCCAGCCTGGATGGCTTCTGAGAGATGAGGAGGCGGATGGGGGAGGAGGCGAAGAAGACCCTGGAGTGAAGGGGTCTTCCTGGGACCAGTCTGGGACCTCGGGGGCTGGATTTCGTGCTGCCGAGATCGCAACCGAATGTGGATCGAGGTCGGGGCCCTGGCCCCGTGAGGAGTCCGGATTGAGCACCCTGCGAAGTCTAGCAATGCTGGCCTCGACTCTGATAGAACGCGGCACTGCAAAATCTGGCCCAATGACTGGTGCCTCAGCGGCTATGGTAGCGTAGCCATCGAAGGAGGCACGCACCACCTCGCACTCCTGGCTATCGTCAGTTTCCGATCCAACGTCAAACGACGGCAGAAGCGCGTCAAGCGTGGAATGTCGAGTGACTTCGCACAACGTCGGAGGGTACATCTTTTTGCGAGAAGTCCTAACCGTGCAGTCATCAGCTTTGCCCAACAAAGTCTGGTGGCCCCGAGGGCCATGACTGCAACGTCCACCTCCAGGGGTATTACACAACTTAGTATGGGGAGTGGGAAGCCGAACTGCGAGTATGCTTGGGGCTCGTTCGGTTCGTCCTGGCCGAACTCACACTGGTCGAACTCCGTGAGTCGACATACTGGCGAGTATATGAGGGCACGAGCAGGCCTGAAGGCCCAGGAGGGGACAGCTCGTGGCTCCCACGTGGGAGATGCTGGGTGTTCGACCCACCCGCATCCCCCTACAATTGCCATAGGACAAAGAAGCTCAGCTGTTGCTTGGTGCAGCACGTTCGAGACCTGAACCTGCAGCCTCTGCCCTGCCTAGGAGTCGCCATCCCCCATGGGGACGCCCAGGACCTAGGGGGAGGGGGCCCCCATCCTTCCACCGTGCTGCAGAACAAACTTCACACGGGCTCCCCCCCTCCCAGGGCGGTCATTCGGCCAGCTCTAATGTGGGTGGCCCAGAGCTCGAGTGTTGCTGGCTTGCTCAAATCCCCGACATTAGCATCCAACACAATATCCACTAACAGGGAGGAGGAGGAGGAGGAGGAGGAGGAGGAGGAGGAGGAGGAGGAGGAGGAGGAGGAGGGAGGAGGAGGAGGAGGAGGAGGAGGAGGAGGAGGAGGAGGAGGGGAGGAGGAGGAGGAGGAGGAGGAGGAGGTGGAGGAGGAGGAGGAGGAGGAGGAGGGAGGAGGAGGAGGAGGAGGAGGAGGAGGAGGGAGGAGGGGAGGAGGAGGAGGAGGAGGAGGAGGAGGAGGAGGAGGAGGAGGAGGAGGAGGAGGCGGAGGAGGAGAGGAGGAGGAGGAGGAGGAGGAGGAGGAGGAGGAGGAGGAGGAGGAGGAGGAGGAGGAGGAGGAGGAGGAGGAGCGGAGGAGGAGGGGAGGAGGAGGAGGAGGAGGAGGGAGGAGGAGGAGGAGGAGGAGGAGGAGGAGGAGGAGGAGGGAGGAGGAGGAGGAGGGGGAGGAGGAGGAGGAGGAGGAGGAGGGTGCGCCCACGATCCTGAAGGTCAGGGCGTCGCGCGCGACGGCCCACAAGCCTGGCGGGAAGATGGATGACAACGAGGCCCGCGGTCGGTCGGGCGGCCCGAATGGCCGCTGCGGGGGGCCTCTGGGGCACGCCTCCTGCCCAGGGCGTCGTACGTCTCCCTCCCGCGCGCCCGCGCGGAAGCAGTCCTGCAAGGCAGTCGCAGGGGGGTCAGTGGGGTGCCTCTCCTCCTCTCCCGCTCCTCTCCCACTCCTTGTGACCCCCTCCCCCCTTCCCCTCCCCCTCCCTCTTTTCTCCTTTCTCTTGTCTCCTCCTCCTCCTCCTCCTCCTCCTCCTCCTCCTAGGAGGAGGAGGAGGAGGAGGAGGAGGAGGAGGAGGAGGAGGCGGAGGCGGAGGAGGAGGAGGAGGAGGAGGAGGGAGGAGGAGGAGGAGGAAACGCCCGCGAGGCTCCCACGGGCCTCGGCTGACCCTCCCGCGCACGCGGCGCCCACGAGGCGCCCACGGGCGCCCACGGGCGGGCTTCGGCGAAACTTCGGCTGGTCCACCCAGCTCACGAGTCGCCCGGAGGCTCCCACGGGTGGGCACCAGGCGAAGTATCGTCTGACCCATCATGATCGGAGGTTGATAGACCTCCTACCCTGACACGTCGATTAGCGAATCGGCCGTTTTCGGTTCGCGAGAGGGCGTCGCGGCCGTCATTTTTGCGGGTCCAGGTCTGTCGGTTTCGGTCCTAGGCCGTTTTCACTAAAAGGCGGTTTACTAAAGGGAGGTTTGTCCACTGCCGACATGACCCATCCACATGTCGAGGAAAGCGAATTTTTGACGCTTAACATTTCTGCGGCTGTTAGCTGCACCCTACCAGAGCACTGGGCATTCTCATGCGGTGCAATCGCGAGCTTCTTCACCCGGCTCTTGGCACAGTGCGGCATTCGGCTACCCCCCCCGCTCGCCGCTCCCAGGCCGTTCACCAACATGTCTCAGGCGAAAGCACCAGCATGTCTCAGGCGAAACCAGTCTTTCCCACATTCCTGCGGCTGTTAGCTGCACCCTACCAGAGCACTGGGCAGTCTCATACATTGCCAGCGCCAAGCATTCTGCGGCTGTCTGCTGCACCCTACCAGAGAATTAGCACACCGCAGGCGAAGCTACCCCCCTTCGCACTGCGGCTATTCGCACTCCGACCGAGCAACGGGATGTCTCAGGTGAACCATCTCCCCTATTCTTGCGGCTGTTAGCTGCAACCCAGCAGAGCGTCGACACCATTCTGGCGAAGCTATCGTTCATACCCAGCATCCTGCAGCGTCAGCTGCCACTCCACCCCGCTCTTGGTCGTGGGCGGCAGTCGGCTACCCCCCCGTTTGCCGCTCCCAGTCCGACTTCCAGTATGTCTCAGGCGAAGGCATCTTTTCCCACATTTCTGCGGCTGTTAGCTGAACCCTACCAGAACACCGGGCATTGTCATGCGGTGCAATCGCGAGCTTCTTCACCCCGCTCTTGGCACAGGGCGGCAGTCGGCTACCCCTCCGCTCGCCGCTCCCAGGCCGATCACCAACATGTCTCAGGCGAAATCATGTTTTCCCACACTCCTGCGGTTGTTAGCCGCACCCTACCAGAGCACCGGGCAGTCTCATGCGGTGCAATTGCGGGCTTCTTCCCATTCCCGCGGCTGTTAGCTACACGCCCTCAGTGAGCTGCAGGTCTCAGGCGATGCAATCCCCCATCGCCCTGCGGCTGCTCGCCCGGCGGGCCTGGGCTGGTAACCTTCGGTACTCGGTGCTCTTCGAGTTCTGGAACCGCACGCTGCCTCTTCTGTCGGGCTCGCTCCCTCTTGCTCCTTTTGGGGCTCGTGGAATGTGTCGTCCTTGCGGTTATCAGACTGCGCTGGCCCAAGAGATGGCCTGATTGATGGTTGTCGGCAAGTGCCCTACGCCAACGTTCGCGTCGCCGGTGGTCACTCCGTGGTCTCCCTCGCCTCTCGCGGCATTCCATCTGACTGCATTGGTTTTGGCACGTCGACTTCTATTACAAGGACTGGCTGTTCGACAAGGGTCGGTCGTTTACTATTTGGTCTGAGTTTGAGCTGCGGCTTGCATTCTGTCTTTCTGTCTTGTCTTCCTTTCCTCTTCGCTCTTCCGCTCTTCTCGCTCTTTTCGCTGTTCTCGCTTGTCTTCTCTTCTCTTTGCTCTTCCGCTCTTCGGTTCTCGTCCTCGGCCGCCTGTTTGCTTTCGCCTGCCTTTGTCTCCGTTTTGTAGCTTTCGCCACCGTTGTGTTTTTTTTTTGTCCGCGTCACACTTGCGACAGCAGGGCTCGCGCTTCTCTTTCGACTTTATCTGACTGCGCACGGCTGACCGCGTCGCTCGCGAGCAAAAAGTACCCCCACCAGCCCATCCCAAAACGATCAGCAGGGGAGTTGGTGAATCAGGGGAGCAGGACGCGCGCAGTCGCGCAGCCGTCTTCGGGAAAACAATGATCACAAATAGCTTCCCGCGGTGAAGTCAGTGCAAGCTACGATGGTGCTTCGATGAGGGGTGAGGGGTGTTTCGATGACTCGTACTGTTACGCTGATTTGTATCTTAAACTCGCGTGCGTTTCGAAACTTGGAGCCATCTTGGGGCTCTATTGGGGTTCTCTTGGGGCCCTCTTGGGGTTCTCCTGGATTTTTTTTTGGGGGGGCTCTCTTGGGGGCTCTCTCGAGATCGTCTAAGGCCTTCTTGGAGCCCTCTTGGGGCTCTTTTGGGGCGTCTTGGGGCCCTCGTGGGGCTCTTTTGGGGGTCAGGGGGCCTTCTTGGGGCTGTTTTTGGATGCCTGAAGGGCCTCTTGGGGCCGTCTTGGGCTCTTTCGCTAAAAAAGAGGGGGTCCTTATTTCGGACCCCCCCATCGGAGGCTCAAAAGTGCCGTCCTGGGGCCCTCTTGTCCCGCTCTTGGAGCGCTCTGGGGCGCGCTTGGGGCCGTTTGGGGGCCCTTTCGGGCCCTCTTGGGGCTATCTTGGGCCGTCTTGGGGCCATCTTGAGGCCTCGACAGCCCATCGGGGGCGGAAAAACGAAAAGGCAAACAACATTGTTTTTCCTAAGATTTTCGAAGGATTTTGGCCTCTTGGGGGAGTCTTCGGAGGCCTCGGACAGCACTTGAAATCGTCTTGGGGCCGTCTCGGGGCCTCTTGGACGTGTACCGGAGGCTATCTTGACCCATCTACCGGTATTTTGGGCCATCTTGGAGGCCATCTTGCGCTCTCAGAGGCCCTCTTGGAGCCATCTTGGGCCATCTTGGACGCTGCTATGGGGGGGGTGAACTTCCCAAGCAGGGGCAGGAACGAGGTTGGAAAAGGAAACACCCTAGACCACCTGCGCCCAGAGGGCTGGTGGGATTAAGAACGCCCTAGGTGCAAGCACGGCTTCGGAATCGAGTTGCAACTGCATGGATGGAGGGTGGCTCCTTCCAAATCGGGCCTCCAGGTTGAGAGCATTTTCCATACATGACCAGACGTTCAAAGTTGGAAAAACGTAGCAGCCAGCGTTGACTCCAAATAGATACATGGACAGGAGGGGGGTGCCATCGGAAAAAAAAGGGGGTGCCATTGGAAGAAGGGGGGGTCCTAAAGACCAACTACTTGTGATGATCTAGGGCTCCTACAGGGCACGCCCATTTGGAGAATTTGCACCTCGTCGTCGTCCTCGTGGCTAGAAGCATGGATGGCCCATCCGTTCCGAAAGGGGCCCTGGCCTGGCCTGCAGGACCGTGGGGCGCTCGTCTTTCAGGGGGGGGGCACTCCCGGCATCGAAAAAACTGCTCTTGCAGGGGCTATGATGGGGAGAGGACTTGGGACGGGTGGGCGCACTGCAATCTTGGGTTTGCTCTTGTCCTCCCCTTCGTCCTTCTCTGAGGTTCTGTTGCTCCCATCGTACTTGCTGGCCACATCCCAGAAATAATCTCGAGCACCCGGAGGTGCGTCGAAAGAGTGTCGAAACAGTACCGAAACAGTGTCGGTCGAGTGCCTCCCAGGGCCCGACGCGTGACAACCCTCGAGTTTCGGTGTTTCTGGTGATCAATGCTAAAGTAGGTCGAAACATCGTAACTCTGAGGGCAGGATGCTGATTGGCTTTCTTGGAGCAGCCGTCCACGACAAGCGACAGCTGATCACATGGGGCGGCGCAAGGAGCGCGCCAGAAGAGACCTCGTGCTAGACGCGCAGGCTTAAGTCGGGCCTGTCCCTCTACAGGAGGAATATTCGAGAATAGTCCAAACATAGTCTTGGGACGGTTTGTCAGCGTTTTTGAATATTTTTGGAGTATTTGTTTGACTATTTTCTATTTTTCGTTCAAAATCCTGCTGTAGGGGGACACGCCCGACCTGAGCGTAGGCCGAACGCCTGGGAGCATGCGTGCAGACACAGCACGGGTCCCAAAAGGCCTCCTGGGCCGCCCAAAACCTCGGCTCGTTTGCTAGGAGGCTTGCCAGCAACCAGATTGTGGTCGTCCCCGACACCCGGGGTGCCTCCAGAGGTCTGAGAGGGTTGCTGCGTGAGCTGATTCGCCGACCCCCCCCTTGGCTACCCCACCCCCCCTTTCTCAGGAGGGGAAAAAACACACAGACATTAGTCATCGTCGATTCCCAAGGAAATATGGGAAAATATGAGAAATGGAGGGGAAGACCAAATCCCAGAAAATGGGGGAACATGTGCGGAATCCTGTTACTTCTGTTGTCTACTCGTGTGTCCCTGGGCCCCTTCACTCTCGCCCGCCCCGACAGAAGCGTGCGCCGCCCCCCGCATCTGTTCGGCTGATCTCCCGGATCGCCTGCCCCCCCCCCCCCCCGGGGGGCCCACCGACCACGCCGCGAGGCGGCCGCCACCCTCACCGCCAGGGAGCAGATGTGCGTGTGCCCCAACGAGGACGCCAGGGCTCGGGAAGCGACCAGGGCCGGAGCCTCTCCTGCCGGTCCTCCTCCGCTGGACGGAGGGGAGGCGGTGTCCATAGGAGGGGAGCTCGGCGCAGAGAGGCCTCCGGAGGTCCGCGCGGCTCTCGTGGATCGGCGGCGCCTCCAGGATGCGCCCCTGGCGCAAGCTCGTGTTTGGGCAGACGTTCTTCAGGGGAACGAGAAGGGGGGGAGGGGGGCTGCGTTGGGGGAAGTGGGGATCAGAGGGGCGCCGTTGCCGACCCCCAGCGAGCCGACCCCCCTTTCGTGGAGATCCCCTTGCTCTGCTCCGAGGCTTGGGTATGCAAGGGTGGGGGTGTCGTCACGGGAGGGAGGTCGTCACGGGAGGGGTCGGTTTGGCTTCGTCTCTAGGAGGAGGCGGGGAGCAGGAGGATGTTGAGGATGAGTGGGAGAGCAGGAAGGAGGAGGGGCAGTGGGATGGGGAAAGCGACAAGAGCATGGGGAGATGCGAGCAGGGAAAAGGGGATGATGAGATGATGATGATGATGATGATGATGATGATGATGATGATGATGATGATGATGATGATGATGATGGTGATGATGATGGTGATGGTGATGGTGATGGTGATGGTGATGGTGATGGTGATGGTGATGGTGATGGTGGTGGTGGTGATGGTGATGATGATGATGATGGTGATGGTGATGGTGATGGTGATGGTGATGGTGATGGTGATGATGCTGATGCTGATGCTGATGCTGATGCTGATGACGATGATGCTGATGCTGATGCTGGTGACGATGACGATGATGACGATGACGATGATGATGATGGTGGTGATAATGATGGTGGTGCTGCGACTGATGGTGATGATAATGATGACGATGTTGTTGAATTCTCATTTTCAAAGAATAATTGTGGTTGATCTCCGGAAACGGTTTCACGCGCTCTCGCCTCGACGCCGGCTACATTTTCTCTGAAAACGAGGCTCCCGCGCGAGCGTTGGCTTGAGTCTAAATTTGGGCCCTTGGAGGCCCAGTTACGACGACCACGTAGTAAGGATTTTTTTTTTGAGGTCTGACTTTGGAGTATTTAGTAAGCACTGTTCAGGAAAGAAACGGTATTCGGGAATCTTTATTGTGGAATCTTTAACACTGAATTTTGACTGAGTTTTTTTTTCTGATAATGGGCATTGATTAAAAGGAATCTTTATTGCAGAATCTTTATGAAGGGGTCTATAGAACAAAAAAGCATCTTGATAGTGGAAAATTTGTGAAGGGATCCTTATTTCAGCCATCTCTCTCTCTCTATATATATATTGATATTAGTAATGATTTCCCTATATATATATAGCAAGATAGGGAAGCAAGCCTCATGTAATTAAGCTTATTATTTAGTTACAGTTTGTATAAAAGGAATTTTCATTCAGAAATCTGTAGTAATGAATATAGTTAGTAAGGCTTTTAAAAGGGAGTATTGACCAAGGGATCTTTATCAAGGAATTTATAGTAAGTAGTTTTTGTTAAGGAGTGAGGAATGTTAAGGGTCTTTTTTAAGGAGTTTTTACAAAGAAATCTTCAATAAGGAATCTTTACAAAGGAATCTTTATCAAGGAATCTTTATTCAGGAATGCATTTCAAGGAATATTTATCAAGGAACGTTTAGGAAGGAATCCTTAGTAAGGAACCCTTCGTAAGGAGTTCTGAATAAGGAATCCTTGATCAGAAATCTTTCTTACGGAATCCTTGGTGAAGAGTATTTACCAAGGAATTTTTATTCAGGACTTTATTCAGCAGTTTTTACAAAGGAATATTTATGCAGGAATCCGTATTTATAGTCTGTACTAAGGAACCATGAGTAATGAATCATGATTGGTGAATCCTTGCACAATGATCTTTATTCAGAAATCCTTACTGGCGGCTCCTTATCAATTAGTCCCTATCAAAGAATCATTAGTAAGGACTTCTTGATCTGGAACCCTTAATTCAGGAATCCTTACTAATGAGTTCTTATTGAGGAATCTTTAGTAAGGAATCTTTATCAAGGGCTCCGTAGTGAAGAATCCTTACCAAAGGAAGCTCGCTTCTCTGGCGCGCACACGCAAGTCAGGAGAGCGAATCCGTCAAGGGACGGCGAGAGGTTTTTTCTTGAACCTAGACGTCCTTGTTGTTGTTGCTGTTGTTGTTGTTGTTGTTGTTGTTGTTGGGGGGTGATCGCCCTGGGGAAGGGTGTCAGGGAAGGCTTCTATCCCCCCAAAGCTGGGAGCTCCGGCCGTCTCCCTCACAAAGGGCGTCCAGGAGCGTCCCCATCCTTGTTGTTGTTGTTGTCGGTGGTGGTGGTGGTGGTGGTGTTGTTGTTGTTGTTGTTGTTGTTGTTTGCTTGCTTGCTTGCTTGCTTGCTTGCTTGCTTGTTTGTTTGTTTGTTTGTTTGTTTGTTTGTTTGTTTGTTTGTTTTGTTGTTCCTGCTGTGGTTGTTGTTGTTGTTGTTGCTGTATTGTTGTTGTTGTTGTTCTTGTTGTTGTTGTCGTCGATTGTGGTGGTGATGATGATGATGGTGGTGGTGGTGGCGGGGTTAATGATGATGCTGATGATGAAAATGCTGTGATGCTGATGCTGATGGTGATGCTGATGTCGATGATGCTGATGCTGATGATGCTGCTGCTGCTGATGATGATGATGATGTTGATGATGATGATGATGATGATGATGATGATGTTGACGTGGAGGAGGAGGAGCAGGAGGAGGAGGAGGAAGAGGACCAGAAGGAGGAGGATGAGGAGGAGGAGGAGAGGGAGGAAAAGGATGAGGAGGAGTAGAGGGAGGAGGAGGATGGGGAGGAGGAGGAGAAGGAGGAGGGCGAAGAGGAGGAGGAGGAGGTGGCAGAGGCGGAGGAGGTCAGTGAGTGACCCAACAAGGACTTGGCCGATGGCGAGAACGTCGAAGGTCCGTACGGCTGTGCTGACCTCTTTTGCATACATCCATGCGGTCCTCCCACGTGTCTCTTGTCGTTGTCGTCGTCGTCGTCGTTACCATCATTGTCTTCAATCCTCCTCCTGGGGTCGTCGTGTCGTCGTCGTCCTCCTTCACAGCCAGTCGGTGTCTAGCCTCTCGCTCCTTCCCCATCGTCCTCTTTCTGCCTGCTTTCCGCTAGGCTCTTGTCCTGCTGCCGCTCTTTCGAATCTTCCTCCGGAGGGCTGAATCTGGTAATACAGCCTCGAAGCATGCAGCCTTCTCCTTCCTCTCCACCGCCCTCTTCCTCTCCGTCTCTTTCTTCCTCTCCCTCTCCCTCTTCTCCTGTTCCTGCTCCTGCTCCTGCTCCTCTAGTCCGCTCCTCCTTCCTCCACCTCTCCCTCTTCTTGCTGCTCCTCTTCTTACTTCCTTTTCCGTCTGATCAGTAACTCCTTCCTGTCGCACCCCCAGACGTGTCGGTAGGGCCGGCCTGGCGCTTCGTTTGAGACTCCCATTATTCATGACCCTGAAGTTTGGAGTTTTTGTAACAGTTTCAGGGATTGAGGGCTGGTAGTTTTCAAAGTGTGGCTCTCGCCCTAGCTCCCCGCACATTCGTTTCAAAAGTTTGCAACAGTTTCAGATGTGGAGGGTGGCTCCTTTTCAAACTGTGGCTCTCGCCTGAGCGCCGCGTACACTCGCTTTATATGCGTGTTACAGTTTCAAGGGTGCAGGGCAGTTCCTGTCAAAATACGGCTCTCGCCTTAGCACCGCGCACATTCGTTTAATACGTTAGCTACAGTTTCAAGGACTCGTATCCTTGAAGTCCCAGGAATAGTGTTCTGGCACGATTTAGGGTTGTCAGGACGCAGCAGTTACGTTGATCCGCGGCGCTAAAATCCCAGGAATGGTGTTTCGGCACGACCGAGAATTCTCAGACGGTTCTCTTTAATGGGCAGCTTCCGCAATGAGTTTCGATTCTTGTAGTGACCTAAGTAAGAAGAGGGAATTTGGAGGGAGGGGTTATTGCAACATAGTTGGTGCGCCTTTGGTTTCTACAGGTCCTCCTCCTCCTCCTCCTCCTCATCCTCTTCCTTCTCTGGGGAGTGAGGGGGAAGGGAGGGGAGGCGAGGGGATGGCAGCGAGGGTGGTGGGGGGGCCAGTGGGCGGAGGGGGGGCATGGGAGGGGAGGAGCGGGGGAGGGCAGGGGAGGAGGATGGACGGAGGGATCGCAGGGAGGGATGAAAAGGAGTGAGCGGGGAGGGGAGAGGGAGTCGGAACGAGGGGAGGGGAAAGGCTGAGAGCTAGGGGAAGGGGCAGAGGAGAGGACGGGGCGTGGAGCGGATTGGGAGGGGAGGGGAGGGAAGGTGGGGACGGGAGAGGGGAGGCAAGGCCATACTGGCCTTCCATGGCTTCCCCTCATTGCCTTTGCTTGTTGCCCTTCCGCCCTCTTCGCGCTTTTCTTTCTCCGACCTGTTTCTGTTTCCTCCTTCCCCGTCTCCCGGTCCCACTGTTCCCTGAGCGTCCCAGGGGCCACCTGGGAGTCTGTGCGCTGGGAAGGGAGGAGAATGGGATGGGATGGGTAGACTGCGGAGGGCATGGGGAGGGCAGGGAGCGGGGGGTGGAGGGGAGTGTGTGTGGGGTGTGGATTGAAAAAGAGCGCCGGTGGATCCCCTTTCAATTGAAAAGGGGAGGTGTGCTCGCACCCCCCCGCTCCCGGTGTGCTCGCCCACCCCCTCCCTCAGGGTGGGGTAGAGTTTTCGACCCCCGCCTCCCTTAAAAAAGGGGGGACGGGTTTCGATCCTCCCCCCCCTGGCGCCGGAGAGGGGGGGAGGATTTCAGACCCCTCCCCCCTTTGCGCCGGTTGGGGGGGCCTCTGTGTGGGCTTTGGGTGTCGCGGTTTAGGGCTTGGGAGCTAGCGCTTAGGGCTTCGAGCTTAGATCTCAGGGCTTATGGCTTCGGGCTTCTGGCTTAGGACTTCAGGCTTCGGGCTTAGGGTTTAGAGCTTGGGGCTTGGGGCTAAGAAGGGCTTAGGGCTCGGGGCTTTTGCTTATGGCTTAGGGCTTCGGGTGTCGGGTTTTGGGCCTTGGAGCCTCGGGCTTGCAGGTTAGAGCTCAGGGGTTAGAGCTTGGGTCGTAAAGCTGAGGACTTAGGGTCTTAGGTCTTAGGGCTTAGGGCCTAGGGCTTGGGGCTTAGGGCCCATGGTTTAGGGCCTGGGGTTTAGGGCTTTGATCGTAGGGCGTAGGGCTTGAGGCCTAGAGCTTAGGGCTTCGGGCTTCGGGCTTAGGGCGTCGGGCTCAAGTCTGGGGCTTCGGGCTCAAGGCTGCGGGCGTCGAGCTTCGGGTCGGGGCTTTGGGATTGGGCCCTCGAGCCTGGGGCTCCAGGCTTAGGGCTCAAGGTGTTCGGGCTTAGGTCATAGGGCTTAGGGCTCAGGGCCTAGGGCCTATGCCTCAGGGCTTAGGCTTAGAGCTTAGATCTCAGGGCTCAGGGCTTCGGGCTTCGGGCGTCGGAGCTTCGGCCTTAAGGGGTAGAGCTCAGGGAGGATTTCGGAGCCTCCCCCCTTTGCGCTGGGGAGAGTTCCGGGGGTTACGTAGGCTTTAGGGCTTAGTGCTTCGAGCTCAGGGCTTGGGGATTGAGCGTAAAGTAGATGGGGCTTATGGCTAATGTCTTAGAGCTTGGGGCTTAGGGCGTAGGGCTTAAAGCTTAGGACCTTAGGTTTCAGGGTTTTTAGGTCGTAGGGCTTAAGGGCTTCGGGTTGCGGGCATCGGAGTTTCGGGCTTCATGGTTAATGCTTAGGGCTTAGAGACGAGGGTTTAAGGCTTAGGACTTAGGGCTCAGGACTTAGGTTTTAGTTCTTAGTGCTTAGGGCGTAGAGCTTCGGGCTTAATGCTTAGGGATTGGGGCTTGGGGTTTACAGCTTAGAGCTGGGGGGTTAGGGTTTTTGGGCTTTGGGCTCAGTGCTTCGGGCTTAGGGCTTAGTGCTTGCAGCTTCGGGTTTGAGTCTTAGGGCTCAGGACGTAGGGCTTGTAGCTTTGGGCGTAGGGCTTGGGTAGGGTAGGGTTTGGATTAGGGTGTTGGGATCAGGGTGGTAGAGCGAGGACGGTCGGGTTAGGGTTAGGGCGGTAGGGTAGGGTGGTAGGGTCAGGGTGGTAGGGCTTAGGGTTTCGTGGTCGGGCTTAAGGCTTAGGGCTTATGGCTTCTGGCGGTAGGGTTTCTTTTAGGGCCGGGTGTTGGAGATGAGGTATTGGGGTGAGTGCGGTAGGGTTCGGGATTAGGTCGTTGGGGTTCGGAGTGGGGTGTTAGGGCTCGGTAGGGGTAGGGTGTCAGGGTTAGGATGTTCGGGCTAGGGCGGTAAAAGTTCGGGTTAGAGTGTTAGGGTTCGGGTGTTAGGGTTATGGCGGTAGGGTTAGGGTGTCAGGGTTAGGGTGTTAGGGTAAGGATAGTAAGATTAGGGTTAGGGCGGGCGGGCTAGGGTTAGGGTGTTAGGGTGAGGGTAGTGAGGCTAGGGTTAGGGCGGGCGGATGAGGGTCAGGGTGTCAGGGTAAGGGTGTTAGGGTTGGGATTCGGATCGGTTAGGGTGTGAGGGTGAGGGCTTAGGGCTTGGGGCCCCAGTGTTCGGTTTAGGGTGCCAGGATTTGGGTGTTGGGGTTAGAGCTAGTGCTAGGGCGTTTTGGCGTTCGGGTGTCAGGGTAAGGGTGACAGGGTTAGGGAATTGGGCTGTAGGATTAGGGGCTAGGGTTCCGGAGCCAGGGGGGCGGCGTGGGGTGGTCCGATTTTCAAATCCAAGTGAGTGGGGGGGGTTCAACACGCCCCCCCCCCTTGTGAAAGGGGGAGGGTGTCCCAGACGACGAATCGGGAAAGGAGGAGGGAGGGATTCCGGGACGATGGACGGGGGAAAGGGGGGAAGAGGGTGGGGTCCGACGTTTGGAAGCTCCTTAGGGGTTCATTGCAAGTTCCTTAGAGGCTCCTTAGAGGCTCCTTAGAGGCTCCTTAGAGCCTCCTTTGAGGCTTCTTACAGGCTTCTTTAGAGGCACTTACCGGCTCGTTAGAGGTTCCTCAGAGGTTCTCTGGAGGAATTTCAGGGATTTCGGAAGGATCTCCGAAGAATTCCTGAGGATTCCTTCGGATTCATCAGGATTCCGCAGGGTTCTGGAGGATTTTGGATTCCTGAAGGATTCCGGATTTCTGAAGGATTCCAGAGAATTCCAGAAGATTCCTGAAGGCTTCGGCAAGGATTTCTCATGGTTTCTGAAGGATGTCCCAGGCATCTCATGGATTCCGGAAGGATTCTTGTGGATTCCAGAAGGATTCCTGAAGCATTCCTGCGGGTTCCTGAAGGATTCCTGCGGGTTCCTGCGGGCGCGGGGTTCTCTGGGGCCCCGAGGGCGACGCTTCTAGTGAAAGCGTTTCGTGCACTCGGGGCCTCGGTGAGCCCCAGAACCCAAGGGGGGGGGGCAGAGCGGGGGCGAATGTGTCGCTCTGCCCTCCGCCGCCGCCGCCGCCGAGCCGGTCGGTCCCCGCCTCCTGTCTTGCAGGCGCGGGATTTCCCAAATCCCCGAGTGCGACGATTCCGATGGAAGCGTTTCGTGCCTTGGGGGGTTCGGGGAGCCCCCCGAACCCATGAGGAGGCAGAGCGCGAGTGAACGAGCCACCTTGCCCCCCGCCGCCACCGCCGCCGCCGAGTTGTTCGGCCCCTGCTTCCTTTTTTTTGAAGGCGCGGGATTCTCCAAACCCCCGAGAGCGACGCTTCAAATGGAAGCGTTTCGTGCCCTCGGGGGTTCGGAGAGATCCCGAATCCATGGAGAGGGAGAGGGTGGCCGAACGAGTGACCCTCCGCTGCCGCCGCCGCCGCCGAGTCGTTCAGCCCCTGCCTCCTGTGTTGCGTGCGCGGAATTCCCCACCACCCCGAGGGCGACGCTTCCAATGGAACCGTTTCGTGCCTTAAGGGGTCTCGGGTAGCTTCAGAACCCATGGGAGGGAGAGGGTGGCCGAACGAGTCACCTTGCCTTCCGCCGCCGCCGTCACCACCTTCGTCGTCATTTCCCTATCGAAAAGACTGTTCAAACGAAACAACGTTTGACGTTTCGCGTGCCCCCACCAGCCTATCCAGACACGATCGGAGGCTTTCTTGAGTTCACTTGGAGGGTATTGTGAGCCCTGCTCGGCGACAGGCTGTAGGAAGCTATCCTGAACCATGGTTGACCTCTTCGGACCAGCTTGGGAGGAGGAGGAGGAGGAGGAGGAGGAGGAGGAGGAGGAGGAGGAGGAGGAGGAGGATAGGAGGAGGAGGAGGAGGAGGGGAGGAGGAGGGGGAGGAGGGGGAGGCGAGGGAAGGCGGGGGGAAGGGATGCGGTGAGGAACGGACGGGGACGGCAGGGATGGAGGAGGGGAGAAATCCTAGACTTTCAGTGTCGTGATTTTTCACTACATGGCCACCCAGAGGTCTGGACCCTTTCCCCGCGGCCGGTTTTTTACCTCAGGCCTTGCACCACGCGGACCAAGACCCTTTGCCGCGATTTGTTTGTCCGCAGCGCGGGGAGGTCTGGGATGGAGGAGGCCCAAGGGGGGAGGAGGGCTGCTACCCAAGGACTAGGCGTTGACTGGGCGGCGGCCGGCGACGACCTGCCCAGGCGGGCGCATCGAGGGCGTGATCGCCGACTTCCAGGTCGGCAGGCTCGCCGAGGCGACGTGGGACTGAGCGGGGGCCTCCTGAGGCCCTCGGCCTAGCGAGCGGTCCTGCTGGTCCAGGCCCTTCCTTCTCATAAGCAGACTCTTCCCTTACCATTTTGCTGTCTTCTTTCCCCCCTTGTGGGTCGAGGCCCATTTCACCAGCTAGAGCTTGACGAGAGCATTAATACGGCGGCACTACTGCGCCGATCGGCCTTGTGTGGGCTACATTCAGGCTGCAGAACCCGTTCGACAGAATGGTCAAGGATACGAGCCATCACCCGTAAGCGCCTCCCCCCCCCTCGGGAGCATCTTTGCTGTTTAGCTGGCCTCCGTTTCCTGGGGAGAGGGAGGGGCATGCCCTTCGGGCTTCGTGAGGCTCAGGGGGGTCAGCTTCGTTCCCCTGGGCAGTATAACAGCGACTAATGAGGAGGAAGAGGAGGATGAGGAGGAGGGGAGGAGGACGGGTTCAAGCTGGAGTCAAGCCAGGCAATGGCGTTGCGTGTTGGGGGCCTGTGGGAGCCCCTCCCCCATACAGCCTGGCGCGGGGCTTTCCAAAGGACACGAGCCGTCGGGTTCCCCGCCCCCTGGCGCGTACGTCACAACGAAGACCTCGCTCAACAGCACCAGGATCGGGTGCCACTCACGGTGTGGATGAGGTACCATATCGAGCGCCCCTGCTCAAGCCAGCGCAGAGTCGGATTGCTTTCACACGTGGCATTCGGCTTTGTGACGGTATCCTTTGCTTGGACACCGTAGGCTGATAGTGCAAGCCACCTCGTTTGATGAGCACCTCGGCCACGCTCTAGTTTGCCCAATACACCGGGGCCTGGTTTCATAGGTTGCCCAATACCCTCTGGCTTGGTTTTCTAGTGCAAGGTTGTCCTACGAACGTGGCCGAAACTATGGCCGTCATCTGAGGCAAATGCTCGCTCTGAGGCAAGCCTGTGCTGGAGCCCTCATAAGTCATGGGCACTGGTCAGTCGCAGGAGCTAACCTACTGACCTGCCAGGCACAATGGTGGGCAATCTCTGGGAAACGAGGCTGGGCCTGTTCTACAAATACCAGGTACCGATAGAAGCGTCGCCGCCGAGGTGTCCACTGCATTTTGGCGAATCCCGGGTGGTGGTGACCAACAGCAGCCGTGGTGGATCAAGCGCATCATACGTCTGGCTCTCTGCCGTAGGAGTGGCCGGCTTCCAATCCCGGACCCCCAGAAACGAGGTTCAGGGTTTTGTCGATTGGGTGGGAGGCTCTCACTTACAGCATCGAGAGGCTGTCCGTCCTCTCTTTTTGGTCGTGGGGTCTGTCGTCCTCAGCCAGGGCGTCGACGCCTTTACAGCAGGGCGAGGAGCGGAGCGGCACCAGAACCTCCGCTGGCGCGCGTCTTTGCTATGCTTGCACTCTTTTTCTCGTCCCAGAGAACGTGTAGATGTATGTGTGTGTGTGTATATCTGTATGTCTCTAAATATGTGTATATCTATGTATATGTATCAATATATGGACGCCATGTCCTTCATTCGGCATCGTCGCTTCCCGGTGCGCCGCGTGCGCGAGATGCGGAGAGCGGGAGGGAGCGACGGTGCCCAAGGCCTGGCCTGGGCGTGTGCTGCGGGTCCAGGCGCAAAACCAGCAGCCGGTGTTGCCGTAGCTGTGTGTGCCACCGGAGATGCCACGATGCCACTGGCGATGCCGCGTGTCTGTTTCTCGCCCAAGCCTGGAGGCAGCTGTTGAGGGTTGGGACAGGCGTGTTGGGCGGGCTGACGACGGTGTCATATGCAGGGAGCCCACAGAGGACGTACGCGCCCAGCGATGTACATGAGCACGGCCCCTCGGTCCGCGAGACTGGCTGCGGTATGCGAGCATTTGCGCAATGCGTGCTCTCGAAACCAGCGTGGATTCATGTACGTGTCCGTCCTTCTTTCGCTCCTGAATGTGTTGTGCCGAGCTGCGTGCTTCAGGGTTGTGAGGTTCTGTTCTGCTTCGCCCAGGGCGTCTCGTTGCATACTGGCGGGGGGCTCTGCGCGCCCCCTGCGTGCACAGTCGGGGCCCTCGGGCCCCCGCGCGGGGCTGCAGCCCCCTCGGAGGCACCAGGCGCTTCGGCGCCGCCGAGTGCCATCCCGCACATCGGCGTGCTGATGCCATGGTGTCCCCTGTCGTGCAGTAGTTGTTTGCTCTTCGTGTTCATGGAGACCACTACTGACCCTTGGCGCCGGCACTTCACAAAGATCTAACCTTTCGGCCCCAAAGATCTTCTGCTACTTGGCTCCAACAGAAATTTCACTGGAAACTCACAACAAGAAGTATATGTGTGCACGCCCATCGGCGACATGAGTTGTCGCGCGCGCGTGCTTCGCGCTCGCGCGCGCGAGACCCCAAGACGCCCCCATGGCCGTAAAATGGTTCCAAGAGGGCCTGAGGCCACAGACGGTAACGTCCAGAAGACCCTGGGATGACGCCACCCCAACACGATCCCGCCATGGATTCTGGACCGTCCCAGGCTGAGTCGAAGATGACCGAACACATGAGCCACGAGTGACGCCGAGATGGCCCGATTGCAACAGGATGGATCCACGCGCGCCCAGGGTGGCCCCAGAATGAACACGACGGTTGCGCGATCTCCAGACGACCCAGACATGCCATGAATGCTGCAAGTTCGGAGCCCCATCTTGCTTCAAAACGATCCCAGCATGGCGGGATCCGTGGACGACCCGGGATAATTGCTTACCTTATGTTTAATGGGTAGGATTTCAGTCTGGGTGAACTAAACTTATAACATTGAAAGGGGTAAGTTAGGCGGGGTCCCGCCTGGCCCACCACAGAAGACTACATTGCTAGGCTTCTACGAGGGGTAGGGGGTTCGGACAAGGCGTCATTTACTTCCGCTGTTTTCCGCAAGTCTTCCAACGGTCTTCCGCCGTCTTCCGCCTCGTTTTATTTCCGTCGGTTTCCGCCAGCGAGCGACATGACGAACATTCAAGGAACTTTCATTGGGCCGATGTATTCTGCGGATATATAGAAAATGTCAGGGTGGCGACCACGCTCCCAGGGTGCTGTGATCGTTCCTCGTGCTGAGGCTTCGCCGGGGGCTCCTGGGGTGCCGTGATCGTCTCTCGTGCTGTGGGTTCGCCGTGTGCTCCTGGGTTCCCGCGTTCGTCCTTCGTGCTGTGGCTTTTCAGTGTCAGTGTGCTCCTGGGGTGCCGTGATCGTCCCCAGGCTGTGGCTTCGCCGTGTGCTGTTTTGTGGTGTGCCGTGGGTTTCACTTCTGTCTCAAGGTCGTTGGTCTGGTGGTGCCACTCGGCGCTCACCGCGGCGCTTCTGCCTCGAGACGGGCGGCCTCATGGCGTCATTCGGCGCTCACCGCGGCGCTTCCTGGCTGTCAAGTTTCTGGGGAGCCTTGCGCGCTCCCGTTTCGCAATCCAAGCTGGATTGGGGCCGCAGTCGCTGGTCTGGTGGCGCCATGTGGCGCTCACCGCGGCATGCAGCCAATTTGGACTTGAGATTGCCAGTGTAGTGGCGCCCCCTCGGCGTTCACCCGGGCGTGCTGTATGCTGTCGTTGACTACGTTTTGGATCGAGCGATTGCTTTAGGTAGGTCCCCCCCCCAGCCTCCCCTGTAGGAGCCATGTCCATGAATGGCGCTGCTTTGCTGGCGGCAGTCTTTTGTGCAGCAGTCCAAGCGAACGGTGAAGGCGGTTGCAGCGGCGGTGACCAGCGTCCTGGTGCGCCCCACTGCTGCTGCCAGGCCCCTCTCCTTTGCCGTGCGCCCCAGATGTACAGAGCCCATACGCCGGCACTGACGACCCTGCCCAGTTGTTGGAGTCGCTGCGTGCTGCCAAGCGAGCGGCTGCCGATGCCACGATGCCGCGCGATGCTTCAGCCGCCGAGGCGGACATGGGTGCATCTGATAGAGGTGCGGCCAGGGACGCCCGGCCGCAGAGCCCACCTAGGCAGCACCAGGACCCGCAGGCGATCCACCTGAGCCTGCTGGTCCTGCTCCCGCTCACTGCAGCTCCATGGTTTTGGAGCTGGCGACGTTGCCAGTTCAGAGGTCTCGGGTCATACTCTCGGCCCTGGTGATCTGGCCTCCGAGGTTTCTACGACAGCGGCAGAGATGGCACGTCACGAGTCGTATCTCAACGCAGCCCTTGGTAAGGGCGGAAAGGAGAAGTTTTTAGCTCGCCGCTTCCAGTTTCGATCTGCAGCGCATGAGTCTCTGCATCTTGGCTTGGTGGAGCTGTCGCAGCTGACATGTTTGCTCTTCCGTGTTTGTGCACAAACTCCCGACGTGATGCCGTGCGCTGACTATTGAGTGGCGCTCCTTCTCCTCCGCCCCCGCCCCCGCCCCGCCCCGCGCCTGGAGTACGCTGGCCGCCCCCTCCGCGGAGCCGCCGCGCCCTCCACCGCCCTGGGCCTCCTGCAGCTGCTGCAGCGCTGGGCGGCCGTGCCGCCGACCCCGCGCCGCTGCCACCCACGTCCTTTGGCCGGCCACCTTGTTTTCAGCCGCCGCCGCCGCCGCCCCCCCCCCCCCCCCCCCACACTTCTTGCCAGGTCACGCCCGCGCTGTGGTTGCTGGCCTCCCACCGTGGGTGCGCTGCGACGCCGCCCCGCAGCCGCTGTCAGCTTGGACCCCGGCCTGGCGGCGCCCCTGCCCCCCCCCCGCAGCCCCGCTGCGTGAGTGCGCCCCCGCGTTCCCTCCTCTCCTGCGGCCGCCCCTCCCTCTGTTCCTCCTCCCTTGCGCGCGGGCTAATTCGTGATTCCGCGCCCGTTGCTCGTGCGCGATCGCGGACTGCTTCTGCCGCGCCGCGACGTACAGAAGTCTGTGCGTACACTTCGCTGCGCACGTCGCGGCGCTTCTTACGAGCTCTTGGTAATCATCATATATCGAGCTTACATATATCCCGTGCGTTTGCTGCCTCGGACACCGTCGTCGAGCCCTACCATGGCAACTTTGACCAACGTTCTGGGCATTGACCTGGCGTTGCCCTTCTGAGCCCAATGTAGTTTGAAGGCTAGCTTAGAAACCTCCCCTGGCCGAGTGGCTGGGCTACCCCATTCTTTTTCGTGTCATGCTTGCGTTGACTTGTATTCCTTGGATTTGCATGCAGTATGCAGTGCAATCGTAACCATTTTGGTTCCAGCTTTGCCGTGTTTGCAGCCCAAACAAATTATACTGCCAGTTTTTTTCTCTAGGCCCACGTGCTTGCGCATGGGACGGTCGGAGTGGCGACATCGAACGAAAAAGGGCCGGCGTCCAAGTCAGAGCCCGAACCAGTCGTTACGCAGAGGTCCATGGGAACAGGCAGTGGCAGTCAACAGCGGGCGAGGCCAACGCAGAGGCCAACGAAAACAACAATACCAAGCAAGGGCTAGGGCGGGTGGGGGTCGGATCGGTTGAGAAAAATCAACTGACAATCGTGTCTTCCACGTCAAGGAGAGGCAAAAGGGGCGCTTTCCAGCGGAGCTGCGCACGGCTTGCGCCTCCCCGCCCAAGGAACGTGCACGGCACGTGGCAATGCAGTCGCCGTGTGCGCCAAGACCGTGCCGTCGCAGACATCTGCGTCGTGCATTCCGACGGGTTCGCCCGCGGCCGCTGCGGCTGCCCCGACGCACGGGCCGCCAGTCGGCCCCACCTCCTTGCCGTCGTCTTCGCCAGCCAGTTCCTCGTCCGCCGCATCTTGCACGTCGACCGCGTGGGACGTGCAATCCTGGAAGACGCCTTCGCCGCCTGCGTCTGCTCTCTCCGCTCCGAAGCCGGAAGCCGCCGGGCCCGGCCGGCTCGACGAGGAGACTGCAGGCTCCGCGGGTGCAGCGAGAAGACCGACTGCAGGTGAACCTTCGCCAGCGAGTGCCGCGGTAGGAAAGAACGCCGCTCCCGCGCTGGTCTCAGTAACCTGCCTTCCTTTTTTTCCC